CTCTCTCTCTCTCTCTCTCTCTCTCTCTCTCTCTCTCTCTCTCTCTCTCTCTCTCTCTCTCTCTCTACGTCACAAACTTCGGACTTCGGCTCTGCCAGCTCTGCCAGAAGAAGAAGAAGAAGAAGAAGAAGAAGATAGTAAGAAGAAGAAGAAGAAGAAGAAGAAGATAGTAAGAAGAAGAAGAAGAAGAAGAAGAAGAAGAAGAAGATGGTATGAAGAAGAAGAAACAGAGAAGAACCGATGACTCACCTTTACCGGCGGACGTGGGGCGGGGGGCGCAGTCTCGACCCTGTTCACATTCGACGAAGTGTCGAAGTGACGGATCCCGCTGCTCGAAAGCAGCTGGAGGCAGAAGCCGGGGTGGTGTTTCCCGCCCGAATGTTCAAAAACGGGTGGCCTATCTGGGCCGCAGATCTCACCAGATCGCAGCCCAGATAGGTCGCCAGTTTTTCAACAATCTGGCGGGCCTACCGGACCAGATTAATTTTTTGGGGGGTCGGGAGGCCTCCACGACCCGAAGCCAGGGCCCACATGCAGGGTGTGACATGCCGTAGCCGTCCAGAGGTCACAGATCGGACGGCATATGGCAAAGACGCGCGTTTTAGAAATGGTGGGCCTCTGCCATTGATACGTGTCATTTTCCCGTTTGTTCTCCACGAGGAAGGAAGGGAGCGTTTGTGAGGCGGCCGTGTAGTTAGCCACCTTCTGAAAATCAGTGTGGCTAACCACACGGCGGGTCCGGTCCGATTGCCTAAAAAGTTGTGAAAACGGAGCGAAATAGGGCATGGGGGCGGTCGTGGGTCTGGGCCGCAGATCCGTGAATCTGTCAGTCTCCGTAGTGCAGACAAGATCGCCCGATGAGGCCGGAGAAGGCGTGGGATCTGTCAGTCTACGAATGTGCAAAACGATACTGAACATGACCAAATACATTGCTTTTGTTGTTGTCTTCTCTGCATGTGGAGAGTAGTGGAGCGAGGCCGAAAGTGAAGGGACCACAAAGGCGAGAGTTCGAATCCGCCGTGGTTTTTTTTTTTTTGAGAGACTTACTGTCTGATTCTCGCGTAGTACTTGGGGTTCGAATCACTGCGAGAGTTCAAATCCGCCGTCGCAGAAA